AAATCACCTGTTTAGGGCATTACCTGGATACCCATTTTAGATATCTACATGCTGAATGGAACTCCCAGATGCAGAAGGGGATTTGAATACTGATAGTCAAGATGAAGATTATGTATATTTTCTCATCTTTCCCTCCAAAAAGTCTAGACATTGATGGGGGGTGGGGGAAGAAGGAAGGAAGGGAGGGAAAATTCTGTTGCAAGCGTGGCAGGCTGTGTTTCTAGCCAAACTTCCGAAATTAGCAAAGGAGAGAGAAAAAAATGGCTTGGCCTTTCAATGGGAAACAAAAAATCCTTTCCATTTCTTTGAGTTGGATTGGAAAGTATGTTCCGGGAACTGTTATTTAACAGGGGAAGAAGTCTGGATTTTGTGTGTGTGTGTGTGTGTGTGTGTGTGTATCTATATATATATATATATATATATCTACAGATATAGATATATAATATAAATGTTTTTAATTTTAATTCACATCACACAATCTGCTTTGAAAAAATGCATGACGTGGAAACTATCCACATTACTGGCTGTCACTACTTGATGCAAAGCAAATGTGTTTGCAGAACAGTTTGGGGGGGGACTGTGCAGGGAACGTCTGCTTAGGTTAGGATATGATAGTTTTCCTGTGACTTCATCATGATCACTGCAGCACATCAGTCCTTCTAGAGATGGAACAGAAAGAGGAGGTTCTGGCCCCTCCACTGGGTTTTATTGGATTGTAAAGGGAATGTATTGAGGATACAAGCCCAAAATATGACATACCTGTTCCCTTTCTATCACTTCCCCTCTATCTGCATTTGCAAAGTCCCCCTGAGGTGGGGGGATGTTTCTTGAAAGACAGCATCAGCAGCACCAAATGCTGAGCGCTGGGATGTGGGAAAGCTCCAGCCTGGCATCCCTGAAGGTGACAGGATTGTGCAGTGGCCACAGACTGATGGTAAAGAGTGCGCTTCAGTGACAGCAACATCCTTAGGCAACAGCTGCTGACTAATATTAGTGTATTTGGGTGGGCAATAAAGGCAGCACACTCAGGTGAGAGTTGCAAGCTTGTGGCTGGAAGTGAAGTAGGAAAACCACGGCTGATAGTTGGTGAAGTTGATCATCCTTTGGTGACCTCTTCAAGCTGGTGGATGCCCTTTGCATAGGTGCACTATGCATAGTGACTATGTGGAGCATTATTGGCTATACTTCAAACCAGGGGATGAGTGCTTCATTTGGGGCACTATAAGGTAGAGATGCTATTGAGAGAAAATAGTGGTTCTCCAGAACAAAAGGCCCAGAGATCTTCAGGATCCTTGAGATCATGTCCTGACCTAAAGTGGAAGGAGGGGGCCCACCAGGAGGACACCACAATCCTCTAGCAATTGGCTGGAGTAATGTTCAGGGAGCCTCTGACGCAAAGCTTAAGGGCTTGGTTTTGTTCTTTATTAAAGACTGACTGATAGCCAGCAATAATGGAAACTGCTATTTCTGTTCCAGTAAAACTCTGCTCCCATAGCTGTTGTTATTGGCAAACTCAGTCACTTTGGTGTTTATGGAAAACTATTTACTGGGAGGGAGTGGAAGGTTAGTGAGTTTTAGCTGCTCTCATCCTGCTTTGATTAGTGGCAAGGGCCTCTGTCCCTGAGGATCCCTCCTGCTTGATCCATATCACCCACCCAGGATCCATCCATCCAAATTCATAGAACCTCTATGCAGCCCTTGCAGCCTGGAGAATAAATGCCTTTTGCGCGTGTCATTGTAGAGCACAACACAGAGCCAGCCCCAGTTTATTCCTTCCAAAGGGGAGAGACAGCCTTGGCATGAAGGCCATTAGCTTACAGAATCCCATCTTTATTTACCCAACATTGGCATAGTGTTCAGTACACCAAGTATTCTGTAGCACTGTCAGCTCAGATACAGTTAGATTGTGCAGTGTCATACAGATGAGAATAACAATAATACAGGACTTCAGTGCTGAGGAGAGATTTAAAGAAGCTGCTCTAATAAATACAATTTCACAAACATGCTTGAGCCATGCGTCCTAGTTAATTTGCTTCCTGGGAAATGAGGCATTTCTCACTGCACAGGATCCAGGGCTTATGCCAAGAGAGCGCAGAGGTGCCTCAGGCATCTTCTCCAAGCCCACAAACTTCTTTTCCCCAACATTGGCAGCTAATCTTGGGCTTCTGTCTGAATCATCTTGGCAGGCAGCTCCTCCGTAGCTGGCAGAGCCATCGCTGCCATCTGAGCCTCTCGGGCGGCTCTAGTGCTGGATATGGTGTTTTGTCAGCTTGCCCCACAGCATTGGTTTTCCCACATGCTCTCCTTCAGTCAGTGACTGGAAGGCTCTTGCTGCATGCTTGCAGGCATAGATCTTTCCACAGGCCCCATGGTGCTGTGACTGAAAAGTAGCTTAGTGCCAAGAAATACACTGAGCTGCAGCCAGAGGGGGCGGAACGTGTTCTCTTGTCGAGGGGGGTTTAAACCCAGACTTTAATGAATTTAATCTCATATATGGTTCAGTAAATTTCTCCTGCATGTATTTGAAATGAATAGGATGTGTGATGCAGGGGTTCTCTCTGGATAAGATCATTAAAGAGCTGTGTGCCACCAACACTTACAGCTACGCTTGTGCAGAGAAGAAATACCTCTTGGATTAATCTGACATTTCCAATCACTCTGTATTTTCAAACATTATACCGTGTGCTACATTCTCTATGGGAAGATGGAGCCTTCCCTAAACTGAATATAGTGACCTTCGTGGTTGGGGGTCATCTGTAGGGATTGAATTTGGCAACCCTGGATCTGAAAACATCTGCTGCTAGTGCCTAAGCTAAAGGACTGGGACTGTTAGCTTGGATGCATCAACATTGTAAACCTTTATATGTGGCTTATCCACTAGAAGGAGAGAGAGAGAGATGCATTGTGTTAGCGTAAATTACATGGCATGAAGAGTACAGTGTGGAACAAGGCACTGCGGCTGGGTTGTGGCCTTGCTGTCTGGGGGACCATGGGCACTTTGGCATTTGCCGTGCCCTGTCGCGAATCTTGCTGAGTGAATTCCTGGGAGCAGCTTCACGGAAGAACAGGACCTTGTGTAGGGAAGTCTCTCCATAGAGACTTTCCAAGTGATCCCTTCTGTGTCAGTTGGAGCCAGCCCCTCTGCTGCCAGCTGTTCACATCCCCCCGAATGAAACAAATTGCGAAGGGGATAAAATGCATTTAAATCTTGAAAGCTGTCCTCCTGGCAAAGTAGCCTTTACCCATTCTGACCCATCAGCTCTCCCTTTGTATTGGCTCCACTGTCCTGAGCCTGCCTTTTCTCTTTAACCTGCAAATAGAGCAGTCCTAAACAAACCAAAAAATACTAATGCCTCTACAGGGCACGGTTATGGATGCCACACCTTTATCACTGGGTGTGCATATCATCTATAAACAGAGTAATGTTACCTTGTCATTACCTAGTCCACACCACCTCCCTCACGTTAACGGGTGTGAGGAGGGAGAACTATGGGGAAGTTCAAAATGTTTAATTCAATGGGCGCTTGTCAAAGCACATTAAAAACACAGGTTGTATTACTGCTCCACTATTAGCTGCTCCTGTCAGCGAGGCATTGTTGCAGGTAATATTACAGGCCAGACACAAATGGAGCTTGTAGGTGCTTGGAAGCAGTGTTATTGAAGTGTCCCAGTCAGAGGTGGCCGTTGCTTCCAACCTTTCATTGCAAAATACTGTTTTATCATTGTGAATGTTATATGGCCAGGCACTGGGAATGCCACAATTGCTGCTAATGCTACCAAATGTGACAGTTTAACTGCTCCCTTATCCTTCCCTTTCCTTGTTTGTTTCTCTCTACTCAGCTGTTTCTTGTCATATGTTTAGGCCCTGATCCTGAAAAGACTCAGGGCAGGTTTACACTTTAAAACCTGCAGCGGCACAGCTGCACTACTGTAACGCTTTAGTGAAGATGCTACTACACCAACGGGAGAGCTTCTCCCGTCAGTATAGTTAATCCACCTGTGCAAGAGGTAGTTGCTAAATCAACGGGAGAATCTCAGGGGTTAGACTGGTATAACTGAGTTGCTTAGAGCTGTGGATTTTTCACACCCCTGAGCAATGTAATTTTACTGATATAAATTTGTAGTGTAGACCTGGCCTCAGAAAGGCGCTTAACTATGCATTGTAAGTAATCCCATTGGCATCTATGGGGCTGCTTAGAGTGCATACATTTAAGTATCTGCATAAAGCTTTGCAAGACTGGGGTCTTAGCTTGTCAGCTATTGGACCAGAGATTGTCTTTTTCAATATATACGTGTACAGCACATAGCACAATGGGGCCCTGGTCCCTGATGGGGATACAAATAAATAATAGTAAAATGTATTTCTGCGCCTCCTTCATGGATGGAGGCACTTCAAACTGTCAGAGCCGTGTTCGAAATATTGAAGCGATGCTGTCAGGTAGCTTAGGTCCAAATTTTAGGTTTTGTTTTTAGAAACGGAATTTAAAGTAATAATTTGGGGTAAGGTTTGTTTGAGATTGGAAACCCATAAGCAATGGTATTGAACTGGTGCGAGAGAACCAGGAAGTGAAACTGACCAACTTTTAGTTTTTACCGGAATGCAGAAAACAAACAAACATAGAGTTTAATTTGTGAAAAGTACATTGGATTTTCACAGTGCTGCGAGGGCTGATAATCTCAAGTGATAATTAAGCAGGTAAGGTTCCAAGTAGGCTGCCAGTATCCCTTTTAAAATGTGCATGCATTAGAATTTGAGACAGGCTGGTTCACTTTCCATTTCCATTTCCAGGACAGACCTTCATTAATCAGCTCTCATCTTCCACGGATGTTTCATTCTCTGCCTTCTCCATCTTGCATACTGTAATAATGTGCATTTCTCAGAACTCCACTATCAGTGGCTCCAACTTCCCTTTGAAGTCAATAACGTTGCTATCTGGGTACTGTTCATGCACAGGATGGCTTCCTATCAACCGACTGATTTCTGTTTTCTTGCCTTTTAGTCCTTTCAAGGAAGCCAAGGGCGAGCATACCTCTTCAATTCAGTGTGAGTGTTACTTCATAAATGTCATTGCTCCATCTTTTGGGATACAAATATATATCACCCTGAGGTTAAAATAAGGAGAAAGAGTTGCCTTTTTTGTGACTGAAAGGCACTGACTTTTGAGCTTGCATCATTGCTTTAGAGTGACTGAAAGGAAACAGCACTAATTCACACTTGACTTTGCCTTTAGGTTTCAGATAAGGGGCTGGAATAAGAGGTTTTTTTGTCATGGGATTGAGAAATAATCACTTCTCAGGGGATGTAGTGAGGACCAATCAATCAAAGCTTTGTAAATATAAAGAAGTATATAAGTGCTAAATACTAGTGGCTTTTTTTTAGAGCTGGCAAATCATTTTTATTGAAAAAAATCTCCTTTAGGCAAATATGGTTTTCAGGAAATCAGCATTTGCCTTGGGAATACGTGGATTTCAACAAAAATGTCCTGTTTTCCATTTGTGAAAATCAAAATGAAAAATTTCATTTCAAATTCAAAATGAAAATTTCACTCTGAAATGTTGAATTATTTCATTTCAGTAGAAAACATTGAAATTATCCAGCTCAGTGTTTTTAGGAATTTTTCATTGAGTGAAAATATTCAATATTTCATCTCTTCATTCTGATATGAACAGAACATAATTTTGAAGTATCAAAATTTCTTGTGAAAGGAAACTTCTATTTTTAGAATAGCTGTAGAATTTATTATTAGAGATTCCAGTTTATATTTTCCAGTACGGCAACAAAATTGCTGCAAAGGTTCTTGCAGTGTGCAAAAAGGAAGCAGTACTTTGATAGGAACCATATCTTTCTCTTCCCTTCCCTCTCAGAGTTAATGTGGGTTGCGGCCCCGCAGAGGAGCGGGTGTTACTAACAGGATTACACGCAGTTGCAGACATCTATTGTGAAAACTGCAAAACCACACTGGGCTGGAAATATGTGAGTATCGTTTATTGTTGTGTGGATGCATTTGTCCCTATCCCTTTTTGAAGGTGTGTGTATAATGAGGCAGACCACTGAAGTAGGAGTCAGAAACCTGGATTCTATTCCTGGCTCTTCAGCTGATCATCTGAGTCCCCTCTCTGTGCCTCTGTTTTTCCTGACACCTTTTGTCTGTCTTGGATATTTAGACTGTAAGCTCTTTCTGCCAGAGGCCATATGTTACTATACATAGTCACTGCTCGTGTCCCAATGTCCACACTGCTGTTTTTAGCACACTAGCTGAAGTGGAGCTAGTACATGTCTGTCTATTTGGGCTGGGAGCCACACTCCCAACTGCAGTGAAGCTATACTCTAGTTGAACTGAATGGTTCCCAAACTGTGATCCGTGGAGCACTTGCTGGTGGCCTGCAGAGAGGTGGCTGGTCACATGATCCTGATTTCTTCACTGTGTTTCCACTGGTAACTCACATTAAAGACAGCTAAAAATGAATTAGATGCATTCCTAATGTTACTTTTTCATATAAGCAATTATTTGAGTTCCTCTAGGGATGTTACGCATTTGGGACGAGAGGTGTCCACAAGGTAATCTCTTTATAAAGATGTAGTATAGACTATGGAAATAGTTTGAGAACCCTGGTCTAACAGGAGGCAGCGAGAGATTAAGGGATTTACCGAAGTCCAGACACCTGTGAGCCAGTAGTGTGAGTGGGACTAGAGTCTAGGATTCCTGAAAACAAAAAGTTTCCTGAAAGTCAACAGGGTCCCATAATCCTGCGTGCTGTGCCCCAGAGCTGAGAGTGGAATGCATGACTCCTGACTCCCAGACCCCTGCTCTAATCACTAGACTGCACTTTCTTTTCCATACGTCTCAAGTCTCCTGCTAACTCCACCTTCTCTGTGTGTGGTTTTTTTTTTTTTTTTTTAGGAACATGCTTTTGAGAGCAGCCAGAAGTATAAAGAAGGCAAATACATCATCGAACTAGCTCACATGATCAAGGATAATGGCTGGGATTGAATGGGAAGAGCCCAGCCAAACCAGCGTGTAAGAGAATGCCATCCAACAGAACATTATATCCAAGAGTGAGAGAGTGACCGAACGCTTGGTTCCATGCATTTAGAGGCTCTGCCATTTGGGAGCATCTTCACACCCTTCTCCATCTTTATTGGTGACTGGCCTCTAAATTTCTGTCTCTCCGTCTCTTTGCTTTTTATCTGTTTGTGAATTGACCCTGGCTGCTTCTCTCTATGTTCTGGCGTTGGCTAAGAGAATGCACCAAATGCCTGACAGCATTCCATGTTTATGAATGTCAAAGTACAAACTGAAGTTGGCTCTTCGTTGGCATTTTATCAGAGGGTCTCAGTGTGGGAGGGAGACCAGAGTTTTGGGCAGGAGGAGAGAAGAAGGGGACGGGGGCAGGAGGGGAAGTAAGCAGGAACGAAACTGCTTTTCCTTTAAGTCCTGGTAACCAAGGCTTGAAACTATGGACAGAAATATACCTCATGACTGCGTTCTCTCTGAATCTCGAACCTGCTGTTCCAGAAGCAGAGCTCCAGATTAAGCTGGCTGAGCACAAGTCGTAACCAAAAGCCCCTTGCTAGCTAATTCCTGAAACTGATGTGCAATTCCATCTTTTGATAGGTTGTTTCATACTATTCACACGGTCGCCTTTTGTGAACTTCTTGTTGTAGAGCTTGATGGCTATAGAGATTCCCCAAGCTCTCTCCTTCTGCTTCTCCCTCCTCCTGTTTCATAGCGGATGGGCAAACCGTCCCATCAGAGCATGGCTACGACCTCAGCACTGCTGGGGAAACAAAATTCTGATCCTGGGCAACTGAGAGAGGAGGAGTCAAATCATGTAATGTAGTGGGGCTGGTGCTGCAGTTTAGAAGATATGACAGACATGCAAGAACACGGGCATGTGCTAGGAAAATATGTAGGGGGAGAGGGCTGTAGGCAAACTCAGAAACATATGATGCCATCTTAATTTTCCAATCCTTACTATGTGCCGTTAGGGCGAATCTGTTTACCATTGGCAATGTTATAGCTTGGGATCCAGGCATCCTAATATGTAATGGTAAAATGGCTTTAATAGGATCTCTAAAACTTCAGACTCCAGCCATCATCTCCACTCTTTGAATCCATCAGAGATGTGATGGAACAGTTAGTGGCTCTGGTGGCTGTTAATATCATGTTTCACAGGTGGCTATTTCAAGCCCTGATGTATCCCTCCCAACCTCGACTCCTGGTGTTTTAAAAAACCTGTTTCATACTCTGGAAGACTGAAACTTAGCATCCCCCAAATGGGGTAGCCTCGGAGTTGTAGGGGGAGAAGAGGTTTCGACATCTAACTGCAGCGGACAAGTCCTACTTTAATTTTTGTAAATTAATTTTTATGGACCATCTTTATGTTGTTGGTGTGGGAGAGGGGGAGAATGTGTATAAAAGAAGATAGTGTACACATAAATGACAATGCAAAGCTTCCTCTACAACAGTCCAGTCAGTATCTGGTGCAGAACACAAGACTATTTAACTGAATTAGTATTATCCATCGAGTGAATTCTTTTTGTTTGTGGAATTCTTTCGAAGTAGGTTAATTCTCTGGGGGAAATCCCTCTCAATCCAGGGAGTGAAAAATAATGTGCAGGGATTCATAGCTCCTTATGAAATTGAACCTTCTGATGATTAGAACCTAATGCCGCCTTTTTTTCCAATATTCAGGTTAGCAGAGTTGAGAGGATTTCAAAATCACATTTGCTGGTAAGTGGGGAGGTGGGGGGGAGGGAGGAATGCAGAGAGAGAGGCTAGTTAGAAGTGCGATTAGACGTCTATGTTCAGTACCAGTGCTTAAAACCTGAATAGCTTATGTGAAAAGTGGGTGTTTTCTCTCCTGCTCACTAGATGAGTGTGGTGTCCATGGCATCACTGGTAACATTTGGTTATTACCCAGAAGTAGGTGACAAGATGGAGACTGAGTTTTACTTCTGGAAGGGATGTACCGAATGCCTTCTTTGGCCATTGTGTTAGGAGGTGGCTTCTGCCTTCACCCTATCTGAGGTGAATAACAAGACCACTTCATCTTTGACTTCTGCTAGACTCTACTTCCATCATCCTCATTCCCCTCCATCACCGCTACCTTCAACAAAAATAATTCCTCAGTACCCATTAGCTTGTTGACTCTGGCATTGGCCTTCTCTTCATTGCCCTTTCCACTCAATGTTTTGTTGGTTTTGGCCAGTAAGGAGTTATTTGCTTTCTTTGAAAAGCTCTTCTCTTTCCCTGAAAACCGTCTTTAAAGGGATCTGATCTGAAATGGGAGAAATAAGGGATAACCCACAACAGCTTGTGTGCAGATGGGATACAGAGCCATACCTAGACTCTGCTAATCTTCCCTGAATAAGTATAATTTTATGCACTACAGTGATCGCGAATAAAAAGCCAACATGCCTATAATAATCCCCCAGTATTCAGTCTCAAATACTGCAGAGTTACCCCTGTACATTGTAATTTTTTGCACCATTAGTGTAGGATACGCTGTACCTCTTAAAAATAAGGGCACAGAATGGTGTCAGATGCAACAATTTTTATTCTTTGTGTACTAAGAACAAGAAGTAATATCTCAGACGGCAATACGCAGTAACAATTTACATAAATTGCATTTTTTATAGCGACCACTGTAAATTTGAATATTTGTGGCCAGATCCTCAGTTAATGTAAATTGGCTTAGTTTCCTTGACTTCCATGGTGCTATACCGGTTTCAATCAGTTGAGGCCTGGGCCCAGATCCTCAAATCCTGGTATGGAAAATGCGCGAACGCACGCACATGTGCACACGCGCGCACACGCAGGCACACACTTGACTGTAGGTTGATTTTTATACACTGTATAAAGAGATAAGTAAAAATGGCCTGCTAGACTCATTTAATATTTGTTCTCCCTCATGTGTCAGCTAAACCTAAAGTGCTTCTTATGATGTAAGGTCCACTGTTAACTCATCTGTGACCTGCTGAATTAAGACATATGATAGTATTGGGAGTTGAAAACAAAACAGAGTGATGAAATTTATAGGCTATAACAATCAGGGCATTCTCAGTTGATTAGTTGCAAAACAATATATTCAGAACATAGCCAAAGAATCACACCACTTGCATCTCATTGGTCGAGTCAGTTAACGGTAGCCAGTTAGTTACATCGAAGGGTGGGCAAGGCATGCCCTTCGTTTCCAAGATGGAGCTGCAGTACAGAGAGCGAGCATGTCCCAGCATTCAATGTCCAGATCACAGTGGAGCACTGCTTACTGGGATTTGTAGTCTCCATGGGTGGCAGCCTCAGTGAAGATGAAAACTGCAAGTTTTGCTCCATTTTCTGCCCCCCTCCTTAGTTTCTAGCAAGCTGCCACCAAGGCCCTTGGGCAATGCAAATTCTGGGCACCCCTGAGTTTACATCAGAGCCAGTGTATCCCAAAGCTAAACTTTGGTAGGTTTTAAATGTTTTGCTCAGGCGGATTATCTTGTGTAGAATCGTGTCCCTGTAATAAATATTCAGATGATAATATATACAGAACATAAGCATTATCTTGTGAAATATACTTTTGTAAATAATATTTTAATTTTTTAAAAAAATAATATATTTGGTGCTGTTTTCTCAGAACCCACCCCTGAGAGCACTTTTTTGGGTTTTGTTTTTAAATTATACTGTTTCCTCTGTCTTAGTTGGAAAATATGCTTAAAGGGAAACAACAATCATAAATATATGCTGTTTGTTTTCTTAAGTTGCTACACTTTTCACCTGGACTAGGCAGAAAAAGGGCGAATAACCTCTAGTTCCATCCAGCAGAAATTACCTCCTATACAGGCCATTGCCAGGTTACAAACAGAGGCCCCCCATTCAGGAAGGTACTGAAGCATGTGTGTAACTTTAAGCACATCAAAAAGAACAGTAGAGACTAACATTTATTAGAGCATAAGCTTTCGTGGGCTAC